GGTATGTTGGAAAATTCAGGGTCAACCCAACAATGGTCATCAGCTCAAGGCAACAAAGGCAACCCCAAGACCATGCCAGGATCCATCTGCTGGGTGGTGATCACAGCTCCCCTAAACTAGCAGAAATACGACTGCCACATGGAGGAAGAGATTAGCTAAAAGTGACTTTTCTCCTATTCAGACTTCTTGGAGGATGTATTAAGATAATATTGAGACCAGCATGATTTTCCTAATAAAACAGGGTACAGAGTATTTGACCAGTGCCAATGCTTTCCCCTTTCCTAACCATACTAGGACAGTTTCATTGTGGGGCAATCTCCAAGCATGGTGTGATGGAGTGGAAAGGGAATAGAGAAGATATGTTTATATGACCTGGACCGCTGGTAGGGTCCAATTTAGTAGGACACATGGGGATTGCCACGGATAATCAACTGAACCATGGCAGCAGGCAGACTTCCCACTTCAGCAGGGAAAACAACTTCCTGAGGGTGTAAATGTATTATTTTATTTACATGAATCTCCAAAAAAATGTACATTTTACTTACTTTTGTTTCCTTTCCTCCCAGTTTACTTTCCCTTTCAAGAGGTAGAAAGTACAGACATACACATGTGAAAATACTTTTAAAATCCAACACTGTAAGCTTATGTATCCCAAAGTACCTTTTATCCAGACTTGGCTTGTGTGTTGTGAAGCTTCACAATATGTGAGTCCCCTGCCTCACATGTTTGATGGCCAGTTTTGAGGTTGTCAGCCTCCCTCAACATATTAAAATTTAAGTGGTTTTAATGGAATTACTTTAAGATATAAAGACAAACATTTGAACAAAACATTCCAAAATTAAAATTTTGAATAGATAAAACACATAACAGTTACCAAACACACTGAATGGTTTCATTTTATTCTGCTGTAGGAAATACATTATATTTTATCTGCCTGCTTCATTTTATCTGCAGAAGGTAGTGTACATTTTAACACTCAGTGTTGCCCTCCCTTCAATTCTTGAATGACAAAAATGTTGCTAATCAGCATTTTAGTGGAAAACCACACTGAGGATAAAGAAATTTCCTTCAAATCATGTGTGTAATACCAATCAAATAAAACAAAATGTTTTATTTATTGAATTATTTTAACCGAGTTAATACAATAAGCCTATCCAAATCACTATTGCCAGCACTTGCAAGTTTATCACCAGTCACAGGATATTGGGTGGTTTCCGTAAAATCCTCAGTCTTTTTCTCAGGCAATTAGATCCAGTATTTTTCAGTCTCAGTCCCTTATAAGGGCTGAAAAAAATCATGAGTCCTAACAAGTGAAAAACCAGCAGACAAATGAAAAGATTATGAATAAATGGAATGAACCACTGACATTTCTGGCTTGTTATAGGGTTTTCTCTCTCTCCTTTTTTGTTTGGTCATTGTTGAATTTTCATATTCTGAAGACAATCTCCCTTTTGAGGGTCTGGTTCACCATTTCTGAAAAACTTGGGATTGCAGTGCTGTTAATTTAATAACATTTCACTGTGCTCCAGTCTCCTTTTCTTTTCTTTTTTTTTTTCTGCCCCTTTTTTTCTTCTCTCCCCCACTGCCCACCCCATTTCCAGGACTAGCACTGGAACTTTCCTGCTATTCCTGGCATGTCAGACCAAAGCCCCAACGAAAGGCACCAAAGACTTAAAAGCTCAAGTATTCTCACATTACAAGTAACACCAAATGCTGGCTGTTCCACCCACGGCCACTGTCATCCATGTCAAACTTTCACTGACAACAGCTGACCTCTGACAGACAATGGAAAATTTGGAGGATTGAAAAAAGGAATTCAGAAAATTTTAAAAATAATAATAGGAAAAGAAACAACCCACAGTTAAAAGGAGCAAATAAATTGGTAGTGGGATTGTCACTCATGACTTTCTGGATTGCCTTAGTTCTTTAGCATGGATGACTTTAAGGCCACTGCTCTCCACCAGCAGAACTATTGCTGATGGTGCTGCAACAGTTCACTTTAAGAAAGGTAGGGCTTCACAAGGAACTGTGGTGGAAATTTCCAAAATATAAACAGTCTGTTTGGATAAAGACAGGCTTTTTATATTTAACTGCTAGGCCTGGGAAGCTTGGCTGCCCTGACCACCAGCTCTGTCTGGGTACACGCAGATGGTTTCATGCTGGTGGGATCCCCCGTGAATAGGGGCATTCCCTTCCCCCAGCATCACTCACTTCTTTCTTCTTGCTGTGCGAGGGAAAAGGGAAAATATTTCCATTGGTTTTATTGCTAACACTTCGGGATTTCCTAGCTCTGAGTGAGGAATGATTTTGAGGCAGCTGGGACAAAAGAGAATCAGCAAAATCAACACAACTACAATCAGTTAAAAAAATGAACAATATTAAACATTAAAGGTAATCTTCAAGTGTTGCCTAAAAAAAAAACAAACACCTTGATTCTCTGGCATAAACAGGGCTCATCTTAAAGGCTCTTAAGAGAGAAAGGACCTTAATTCATCTGCAGTCAGAGACTGCAGTAGACAGACTCCTGAAGGTTGTGGCATATTTACATGTAAAGAAGGTTTCTAAACTGTGTTAAAATTAATTGTGTATTTTCAAACATGCTTGGGGTTTTTTGTGAATTCACCAGAGTAGGTAACATGTTTGCAAGGTTTCAACTTATAAAAACTCCGTGTTATCTAAAACTAGACCATCAGATTCTATTTTTAGCAACAGTGATATAAATCTGAAGAAACCTCACAAACTTCAGGACAGTTGTCTTGTATTTACATGTGAATTAAGGATGTCAAATCAGCCCCTATTTTATTGCTGCACACTACTAAATGCAAATCTCTGATTCTGCAAACAAAACCTGTACTAATGCATATGGCTGGAAATGTCCACATAAATTCCATATAACAGCTACCAAATGAGAGCTAATATTCTCAGGTAGAGAAAGGCTGTGTTTCTTACTATCATCTGGTTTAATACCAGCTGGTGGACTGGGGCAGCTGAAACAGCAATCGCTCAAAATGTTTTTTAAGACACCAATTTTTGGTTACCTCACTTATCAACGTCAGAATATTTTCTTCAGCAAATTAGAAACTCACTTTTTCCTCATGTATTTTTCAAGTACTCCAAATTTTCATTCACAATGCCAAACTGCAGTAAAATCCAGCATAATGTAAATCACACCCTGATACTCCTTTTCCTTTCTCTTTCTGGATAGAAATATAAATGCAATGAAAAAATAAATGATTTTAGATGGCATCAGTGGAGAAATTTGTACCATGGATGGAGTTTAAAAGTCATATCATCTTGCTAACAGCTAAATAATGTATTTCCTAAGTTGGATTTTGGCTACATTAGTTTGAATGTTTGAACATTTTTTATTTTAATAAGGAGAGCATTTTAAAGCACTGAAACTGGGGATAAGGTAACATTATCCTCTTGGCACATTTAATAATATGTACTAAAGCAGCCTGTTATTTCCAGCCCCTCTTCCCTGTCTATCATTAACGCTGCAAATCAATGTCTTTTTCTGAGCAGCAAACCTGAGCAGTAGTGTGGTCATGTGAAACTGGAAAAAATTACCACTTACTCTGGAAAGCAGCGCACTACGAGTTTGAAGTCCTTCATGTTTACATAGTGGCTTGACTCTCAGCAACAGGTCATAGCTGCAGAAACAAGAGGCGCCTGAAATATTGTGTAGGGCCTGTAAACCCTGGAATGTGCCGTGCACTGCCAGCAGTGCCCTATAGGGTCTTAAGCAGCCTCTTTTCCCAAGACCTGGAAGAACTGCAGGCGTTTCTGACCAGACCTGTTGGGCTAAGGTGACTTTGACAGAAGTCAGCTCATTAAGCTAAGATTGTAGCTTGTCTTTAGATATTTCAGCTGTGAAGTGCTGTAGTAACTCCAGGGCAAAGATGCTGCTCACAACAGAGACCCCACTAACAGTGTTTATAAAGCAAGAATTAATCAAAAATTGATGTATTTTGATGTATTTTTTTCAAAGGACAAAAAAAAAAAGTAAGTTGGCCCTCAAATAACATAACATACTAGTCTGTGTTTCCTCTCCAAACAGAAAGACAAAAATCCACCAAGTTTTATTCAATGAGTTATAGTATGCAGAACTGATTCAAAGACGGCAGTCTTTTCTTGGTAGCTTACACCATGGAAATGAGTGGAGTGTTACATGGAGTATTTGAATAAAAGTTCCCCTTTCCTAGACTTCCCATGTAATTTTATTTCCTGCTTAGAAAGAAAAAGGATGACAAGCAATTCGATACAGTCATCGAGAGTGATTCCCTTATGATAAGTGGACCCCCAACATAGCATCACTGCAGGGCTGATTTACCTGCAGATTTATTCAAGCGGAATATGTACCCCTATGGCTGCTCCCGAAAAGCTCCAACAGAAACCTTGTGAATGGCCTCAAAACCAGGTCTTGGCAGATTTGCAAAGAGCTCTTTCCAGTATCATGGCTCTCCAACAGAAACCTTGTGAATGACCTCAAAACCAGGTCTTGGCAGATTTGCAAAGCATTCTCTTCAGTATCATGGCTCCTTCTAGGCAGCTCAGTAGATCCATTTTACTTCAGATAGATGTTTTTACCTTCTCAACTCACACTGATTTGTTATGGTTAGCTATCAATTGGCATTTCCAAAAGCACCCATCTCCACCCACCACAAGGTAGTCCAGGATAGCAGGGTACCTATTACACAAGCCAAACCAGTCAATCTGTTCAAGGGTGTGAAATTCTGAGCTGGCACTGACTAGTAGCAAAGAATTATTCAGAAGCACCACAGTGTACACATTTTAAAATACATTTAACTTCTTGGTTCTTAAACTGCCTGCAAACTTTTTGAGTTGCAGAGGCTACACTGGGATGTAATTTAATAACAAGGCTGCTGTCTATAATTATAATGACTTTTTAAAATGTTTTCATTTAAAGGCATAAATGTGGTGGCCTTAAAACAACCAGCAACAGTGTGCATGGCTTGACTTCAAATTCCTACACTTACATGAGCAGAGATTGGGAGAGACAAGGAATCTTGATACTCTGTTGGGGGCCAGATGAAGTCTGTCCAATCTCATTTCCACAGTGTAAGCAAAAAGGCACATTAAATTTTTTTTCATACTTGCAATTACAAGAGCAAGTTAAATGCTAAGGGCCAGTCCTAAACATGCTTTTCTTCAGTAACATAATTGAAGGAAGCAGTGCTCTTGACCCATTGGAATTACTTTTGCTTATGTGTGTTTGAAGAACTAAGCCATTGCAGTTTTATTCTTGGCTTTCCAAACTCTGCCTGATCCTTTCAGAAACAAAGTACTTTCAAATGGTTGATGCCATCCCATTTCTTAAATGAAAATAAATAGCATTGCCATGCAAAAAAGCAGGTTTTGTTGTTGCTACAGGATCCTTTTTTTTCCCCTACAGAGTTCTACCTACCACAGTTCAAGATATACTTTTCAGATGCAACAGATAGGCCAAATTGCATCCTCATTAAGAAAACGCACTAGGCTACACACTAATAAAATCACCTTACTTTGGACCAGCAAAGCTTCCATTAAAACTAGACGATATTTGTGTTGCAGAGCCATAAAATATGCTCTTTGCAAAGGATTTTTTCAAACCAGTCTAGCAAAATGTGTGGATACACCTCCATTGGCTTCAGTGACTTTTACATCAGGCACTAAAGCAGTGCATGCATTACATCTTCTTAATGGAGATTCACAGGTGAATTACAAAAAAAAAAAAAAATAGATTTATTATAAATGGAGATGTTCTGAAAGGTTTTCTACCTATGTTAAAAAATTACTGAGTGGAAAGTAAGTTAAGTAAGTTCTGTGTGACATGTAATTCTTTGTCTTAGCCAAATCAGCCATGTTAAATCTGATTCTCCATAGTTTTGTCGAAATCACCTGAAGATGTGAAATCTTAAGTGAGGTCGCAAGGTCCTGAATTGCCGACAAAGACAAATCTGTAGTATGCCTTTTTTAACTATGAAAAAAGTCATTATCAAACCTTTCAGACAACTGAAATAAAATATCATTTCCATTTCAATTAGCAGCATTTCCATTCTTTGTAAAGCAAATCTTTGAAGGCAATTACTGCTAAGTTTCCCTACCAAAACTGGGTGCACTGGGACCCACAACTCTACATCAAGCTTTGCATATAGGTAATGATGATGGAACATAACAGCAGCAGTCAGGACAAAGCATATCATCAGCAGACACTGATCTCTGCCTGCAAAATGAATACAACAGTGTAAAAAAGGCAGACAGAACATAAGACATCTGTAAACAGACAGAATACATCTGTGCAACTTGCCACACTTTGGAAAAAAAGGGGAGTTAAATGTAAATATATATATAATACCCTTTTCTGAGGTCACAGGCAGATGATTGAAATTTAGTCTCCTACCACTACTTAGTACCCACTCATCTGTTAACTCATAAAAACACTGATCTGTGGGGCACTTTGCTGTTTGCCGCTAAAGGATGATTTACATGGATCAGAAGAGTACCAAATAACTGCACAAAAGGCAAAATACGTGTTCTGTAATATTGACTGCCACCAGCTCTGCTGCCCACAGAGGGGGCCAGTATCAGACATAGTGACAAGCCAAGAAATTCAGTGAAGGTCAAGAAACTCAGTACTGCATTCTCCTCAATCTTCCATCAGCTGTAAGTCAGCTAAACTACTTGTCTCTGGTCCTAAAGTGGTCTAAATTCTGGCTTGGATGTATTTCCCTGAAACCATGCTCCAGAGCCAAAATGGTGTCATTGAAATTGTCCACTACACCATCATTATTAGAGCAATTCCTGGGGCTGAAGCATTTTTTCCCAGTAAAGCTGATACAGCAGGGTACAAGTGGATAGATTGTCTGACAAAACAACCCAAAGTGATGGGGTGGTGGCTGTCTGTGAAGAACACAGCAGCCCTTTTGTTCCCAGTCAGATGGGAGCCACAGCATCTGTGCCATCACCGAGCAAGAGTAGAGTGGCTACCTTTATTCCCTTCACATCAGCCATACAAACTGGCGTATATCCCCAGATCTTTCCCAAAAAGTCATATGCTACTCCTCCCCTCCCCCAGGCATTAAGCAGATGGACTTGGATATCCCAGAATGGAGCCTGGAGCTGCCACCAGTCTAATGAGCACCAGCACCACAGGGCATAATTCAGCAGCTTTGGCCCCAAAACCCTCCTCCAAGCATCCTTGTAGGGCTGGAATCACCCCATGTGCCCCACACAGTTATTCCCGCACAGCCCAAAGCACAGATGTATTTTTACCACCTCCCAGGAGATGAGTTGCAGATTAAAGCACAGCCTGCTTCATCCCCGACGCTTTCTCTGATCGCAGCCAAGGGGTATCGTCTTTTTCTGTGTACTGTCAAGACGTTTAGAGGACCTGGCAGCAGCGAAGCCTACCCATTGTACTAGGCTGCATAATAGGTCTGGAATTGCTTTATAAAACTGAAAAGCAGCACGCAAAAATGAAGAGACTTGATGAAGAAAGCTTCCAAAGACATTCTTGTGAATAAGCTCCCATTTTAAGCACAATCAGGTTTCTGAAGCACCAGAGAGCCAATTAATCATGCAAGTGTCAAATAAAGACTAATAAAACAAATACACACACAAAAACCTCGTGTTTTCTCTGCAGAAATGTTACATTTTTAAATTATTGGTTTCTATTTCAGATCTTTTTGCTTGGTCACAGCCACAGTGCTTCAGGTGGAGGGCAGGTATCTTCTTCAGGGACTAAGGCACTGCCTTCCACGGAAATAATTTTCAGATTTGGATAACAACAGTGTTATTTCAAGATTTAAATAAAACATGCATGAGAAATAAATTCTTGAAGCTGTGCACAAAAAAAAAAAAAAAAAAGCTTGATACTTTCAAGCCTCTACAGAATCTGGGAAAACAAGCATCACATCCAGCTTCCTCTTAAAAATATAAAGGAATTTTTTAGTAATTACCTTGCTATTTTCCCTACCAGTACACAAACTCATGTTTTTGTTCTGCAAAGGGCATTTGTTTATACCCTACCAGTCTGCTCCTTCATACTGAAAGCATTTTTCCTGATCACTTTAGGAAAGATGGAGTCCATGGCTCTCAAAATCCATACAACCGTAAATCAATATATGACATGTCTGCAAGACATTGATTTAGTGGTCACATAATTCACTGATTTTTGACACTTAAACCAAATGCAATTTATCAGTGTTTTAAATACTCCTTGAATGTGTGCAAAACTTTTCTCCAGTGTGCAAAAGAACAACCTCAGATCCTCCTTTTTTTTCCACACCGGACAATTCAATTCGCATCTGCTAAGTCTGAAAAAATATCACCTTTTCCTTTTTTTCCCCCTTTTTTCCACTTTTTTAATAATCATTATGATTATGAAGTCTACATTGTCCAAACATGTATGCACAGGGGGTTCTGGTCCACAGAATGTGCTTCTGGCCTCATTTTTCTTCGTTTGGTGGATACCACTGAGAGAAAATAGTATTTCCTGGAAATAGATTTAAAAATATATCTTGATTAAATCATGTAGTATATCTGAAGGACAGTCCATAGCTGATAGAAGATCAGAGGCTGGTTGTCCTATACATCTGTAACTGGTAAGACAGCCATGCTGCAGAAATTTAGGTTGTCTTTAGCCCCGCATTAGTCGTGTGTCTGTTTGTGGGCAGGGTAAGAAGAATGGGCACACAATTATTTAACTAATTTCAATTATTTACTGCACAGGTCTGTGTGAAGAAAACCCATTTTCTGTACTTATGATTAAACCTTAAAGAGCAGCACTGGTGAAAAAGGGAACTGACTGGAGAAATGCATGATTAGCTTCATTACAAAAGTCCTACAGCATTTGAGCATAGGAAAGTGGGTCAGGGAGAACATCTACATGGCACACACAGGTAGACAGACTTGGCAGTGGCACATTACTCCTGAACTTCGGGTGTTACTGTTTCTGAGCACCTGAAGGCTGAGGACAGAGAGTGACCTGAGGCTGCTCACCTAACAGATGCCCATCCCTTGCAGTCCTCAAGGCCAGGTTGAAAGCAGCTTGGAGCAACCTGGTCTAGTGAAAGGTGTCCCTGAACATGGCAGGGGGCTGGAAGTGGGTGAGCTTTAAGCTCCCTTCCAACACAAACCATTCTATGATTTCACAGCAGCAAGAAATAAACCTGGTTGGTGGTTGCTTCCTTCTCATCTGGTTCCAGCCTGGTAGTACGTTGTATGCTTCAAGACATGAAGCAAGCTATCTAGACTTGCTGGGCTGTCATAGGACTAGGGGGCACCATTAGAGCAGGGTTCATTGGTTCCAAATGGAATGAGACATCTGTCTCTTGCCACCAAGAAACTTAGATGACAAGCTTAGATGCAACGCATTATCTGGTGAGAATAATCCTACCCATTGGGCTCAAAATACCAGCAAAGGCCTGGCTCGTTTTCCACGGTCCCTGTGGCTTCTCCCAGTAGAAATGAACTGTAGAAGTAAAACACCTAAGCAAGCCTTGTGCAGGCATCTCTAGAGACTTTCCTCCTTCACTCTGTATTGCAGAGTACATGTTCACACAAAACCCGCTATGACATTTGTCCCAAAGCCTGAGAAACCTAGCTTAGAGGGAAATTTGGCTTTTTCAGTTGCCAGTTGTGGATAGAAATTCTTCAATGTTTTGTCTTTCACCCTTTCACTGTTTTCAAGTATGGCTGGTAAAGATATCCTTTTTTAGTTTGCACGCAGTTTCTCCATTATCAAGCACTATGAATGTAATGTGTTATGTCTGCCACTTGGCCTTGAATACTGAGAAAGCTAAAGCCCATGATAATAGTCAAATTGAAGAGGAAAAATAATGTCGGCTGACTGGCAGAGCAGAGGTCTCAAGGGGAGCTGTGTCTGCTCAAGGCTGCTTACAGGATCAGGCCTTATTTACCATAATGTATGTGTCTACAGTTGCTGTATGTCAATCTTCATTCTTCATCTTCCCATTGGTATCTAAGAACAATGTTTTGAGTGAGAACAAAATGAGGTGATGAGCCAAAGCTCACTCATATTGCTGGAAAGGGG